AAGCAGGATTAATACTGGAGCACAATATGTATGGGATCGAGCAAACACACAGGACATGGTATATGCAGGTCCAGGGGTGGGCTGACCATTTGGAAACTCGGGCACTGCCTGAGGGCCCAGGGTCAGTAGGGGGCCCCATGAGATGCCCCTGTTACCTTTTTCATAGGCTTTTTTGAGTTTGGGCAAGGACACAGGGGCCCCATGATCCCCTATTGCCCGGGGGCCCCATGAGTTGTCAGTCCGCCCCTGTGCAGGTCACTCCAATTAGATCACAATAAACCGTAACATGTTTGTGAAATATGACATCACACATAATACTGTCATACCAGCTGCTAGAGGGATCAGAACATGTTACAGTCCAAGTCAGGGGCAGACTGACCATTTGCGAACTTGGGCACTGCCCGAGGGCCCGGGGTCAGTAGGGGGCCCCATGAAATGCCCCTTGGTACCTTTCATAGGCTTTTTTGGGTGTGGTTTGAGTGTGGGCGAAGACACAGGGGCCCCATGATCCCCTATTGCCCGGGGGCCCCATGAGTTGTCAGTCCTCCCCTGGTCCAAGTATCCTTTCTGCTTCAGACTTTATAAGCCCTGATGAAGTGGAAATCCCCAAAGTGTTGGCTTTCCTTTTGGCCGCACACTTACTTTTGGTTTGGATACTTGGGACTTCTCTCAGTCACAGATAGCTGTGACTGAGAGAAGGAGAAGAAGCGCCTCTAAGTGCAGCACAACACTTTAATGAAGATCAAAAGTATGAACACTCACATTTGAGAGGTTAAAATTAGGCATGTAATATGGTGTAACATCGGACAGGAATGGGCTGTCATCTGTGTCACTGAGTCCACGTCCCGCTGGAGCAGCGTGGTGGCTGGAAGGAGATAGCTGTGGAGCCGGCCGACGTGCACGTACTCCTCAGATCCAGGTGGAATGCACGCTAGAGTGCAGCGTCGGCGTAATGACGTCAGTGGAACAAGGTGCAATGTGACGCGTTTTGTTTTTACCAGCGCATGCTCCGTAACGCATCGCATTGCACCTTCTGACGTGATCACGTCCATGCCGACACTGCGCTCCAGCGTGCGTTCCACCCGGCTCTGAGGAGTACGTGCACGCCGGCTGGCTTCACAGCTGTCTCCTTCCAGCCATCACGCTGCTCCAGCGGGACGTGGACTCAGTGACACAGATGACAGCCCATTCCTGTCCGATGTTACACCATATTACATGCCTAATTTTAACCTCTCAAATGTGAGTGTTCATACTTTTGATCTTCATTAAAGTGTTGTGCTGCACTTAGAGGCGCTTCTTCTCCTCTCAACATAGAGTCTGCTACAGTACTTCTGGGAGCTTGCCCTTAGTGCCATACAGACCCCCCAATTAAAGTCACCCTAACAATCGTCACCCACTGCCAGACTGTTCCAGAACTTGGAGCTAGTAGTTGCGCTGATTACTATTTTTTTCATCTTCGATAGATAGCTGTGAACCCTAGGGTTGTCCTGCTGGTATTGCTATCGTTTCAGGGACTCAGCTTTGCCACCTTCATCAGGGATCCAACATAGTTATCCAGCACTATTTTGGGAAACCCCAATTCGGGGGAGGTGGGGTTGTGTTGGGGTTGTCAGGAAGACTAGGTAACAGGATGGCTCAATTATAGCCCTGATGAAGGGGACATTGTTGGGCCCCCAGAACACATTGGCATCTATAATGGAAAAATGTGTATCTGGGTTATTAACTTGTGATGTGGTGCTTCTATCTCAGATACCTTATATTGCCAAAAGTATTGAGACCCCCCTCCAAATCATGTGATTCAGGTGTTCCAATCCCCTCCATGGTCATAGGTGTGTAAAATCAAGCCCCTAGGCATGCAGACTGCTTCTACAAACATTGGTGATAGAATGGGTCGCTCTCAGGAGCTCAGTGACTCCAAGCGTGGTCCGTGATAGGTGGCCACCTGTGCAATAAGTCCATCTGTGACATTTCCTGGCTACTAAATATTCCACGCTCAACTGTTAGTGGGATTATAACAAAGTGGAAGCAACTGGGAACAACAACAACTCAGCCACCAAGTGGTAGGCCACGTCACATGACAGAGTGGGGTCAGCCATGCTGAAGCGCACAGTGCGCAGAAGTCGCCAACTGTCTGCAGAGTCAATAGCTAAAGATCTCCAAACTTGGTGTGGCCTTCAGAATAGCACAACAGTGCGTAGAGAGCTTCATGGAATGGGTTTCCATGGCTAAACAGCTACATAGACTCTGGACCAATGGAGACGTGTTCTCTGGAGTAATGAATCTTGCTTCTCTGTCTGGCAATCTGATGGACGTGTCTGAGCTTGGTGGTTGCCAGGAGAACGGCACTTGCCTGACTGCACTATGCCAAATGTAAAATTTGGTGGAGGGAGAATTATGGTGTGGGGTTGTTTTTCAGGGGTTGGGCTTCGCCCAGTGAAGGGAACTCTTAAGGCATCAGCATACCAAGACATTTTGGACAATTTCATGTTCCCAACTTTGTGGAATTAGTTTGGGGATGGCCCCTTCCTGTTCCAACCTGACTGCACACTAGTGCACAAAGCAAGGTCCATAAAGACATAAATGAGCGAGTTTGGGGTGGAGGAACTTGACTGGCCTGCACAGAGTCCTGACCTCAACCCCATAGAACACCTTTGAGATGAATTAGAGTGGAGACTGCAAGCCAGGCCTCGTCCCCCAACATCAGTGCCTGACCTCACAAATGTGCTTCTGGAAGAATGGTCAAACCTTCCCATAGACACCCTCCTAAACATTGTGGACGGCCTTCCCAGAAGAGTTGAAGCTGTTATAGCTGCAAAGGGCGGGGCCAACTCAATATTGAACCCTACGGACTAAGACTGGGATGCCATTAAAGTTCATGTGTGTGTAATGGCAGGCCGACAAATACTTTTGGCAATATAATGTATATCTCTGTATCTCAGATCCATTTTCCTACCTTTGGTTTAGCACCTTCTATCCTTTAAGACCCATTCAGACCTATATTCTACATCACAGTGCATTGAAAGGCCTTACATTGTGCTTTATCATGCACTGCATTAAACTGACCCTGACACCACAGGGTAACTTATATAAGATTGCCATTCTTGTAAAAGAAACCCAATTACTGACTTGAAAACCAATTACCCAACTACCATGTCTTGGTTTTCTGCCACTTCAATGCTCCCCAGCCACTGGGGGTATTTCAGGTTTATGAATAACTGCCCCTCCCACTGTGGTTTCCTCACTACAGAACATACAAGCCAGTGGGGGGAACCACTGCATGCAGCTCAAGCCTACCTAAAGGATCAAATACCTGCAGTGGCCACAAAGGTGTCATAATATTTAGTATACTATATGGTCAACGGTTTGTGGATGCTTGATCGTTTAGAAGAGCTTGATGGGTATCTCAAACCCATGGGCATTAATATGCAGGTGGTTCTCCCTTTGCGACTAAAACTTCCTAGTCTTCTGGGAAGGCTTTACACAAGATTTTGGTGTATGTCTTTGGGAAATTCAGTTCATTCAGCCAAAAGAATATTTGAAAGGTCAGATCCTGGTGTTGGATGAGATGGTGATGGTGGTCAGTAAAGTTGCGGTTATGGCTCCATGTAGGCCACTCAAGTTCTTTTACACTAGCGATGAGCTTGAGTTCCAATCATACCCATGTTTGCTCCAAACCCAAAATGAAGCTGTCAGTGCTGGCCCAATCAGCTATGGTCAAGGCATTATGTGCACCACAGCTTCACCTACACAAGGAGGGGGGTGCTTGTGACATCATTGATGTAATATGGTCACATGGCCATATTAGGTCAAAGACATTGGCTGCAGCTGACTGACATTGCACTGGCAACTTCCTTCTGGATTTAGACTGAACCCAAGACCACCATAACTCCAAGCCAAACTCATCAAACCATGTCTTTATGGAGTTTGTTTTGTGCAGAGGGGCAGAGTTCTGTTGGAACAGAAAGAGCCTTCCCCAGACTGTTGCCACAAGGTTGAAAGAGCACAATTGTGTACAATGTGTTTGTATGTTGTAACATCAACAGTACTCTTCACTGGAAACACCTACAGTAAACCCAGAATCTAGAAGGGCCCCTGTAACGGAACCGGAGCCCGACTGCACTAGGGTATTTCCATTAGACTCCCGCTTCCCTCTCCGAACACAGGTCCACGGACACCACCGCTGACCCAACAGGACGAGACAGCACCAGACTCGTATTAAAACAGGAAATGGACTGCTTTATTTTAACACAGACACAAGATATATACATAGGGTGGGGCAAAACATTTAGTAACAAGAGACACACAGCAGACACCTCCCACCAAGCCAATACACATAAACACATACATCCCATAATATTTTGCTAGCAAGCAAGACACAATAGAACAATGGGACCACATGGCAATAAACAATGAACAACCCCTACACCCCACTTATATATGTCTACACAAATAGCAGGACATTTCACCCTGCACCCCTAACAGGCACAGGGTGACTTACACATAATAGGGATATGGGGGAGCTGATCCTGGTGTTGGATGAGATGGTGATGGTGGTCAGTAAAGTTGAGGTTATGGCTCCATGTAGGCCACTCAAGTTCTTTTACACTAGCGATGAGCTTGAGTTCCAGTCATACCCATGTTTGCTCCATACCCAGAATGAAGCTGTCAGTGCTGGCCCAATCAGCTATAGTCAAGGCATTATGTGCACCACAGCATCACCTACACAAGGAGGGGGGATGCTTGTGACATCATTGATGTAATATCAATGACAGGGGACAGGGGTCATCCCACCTCTCCAAAGGGGGCTGTGTTCCATGGGCCCCCCACCCAAAGTCACTCCCGTCACAGCCCCGATGCAAGAAACCATGATGTGTGACCTTTGCAACCCTGGTAGTAACACTACTGCCTGAACCCAACAATCTAGAGGGGTATCCACCTACTTTTGGCCATATGGTGTCATGGGGGTTATCAACAGATGTCCATTTTGGTGTACTGTATGGTCAGAACTGAGCCCGGCTCAATTTACTTACATTTCCTTTCTTCCGGCAGTCCCCACACATGATCCCCATGAGGCCATTGACAATCTGAATGGCACAGAGGACAAATTCGATGGCTCCCAACCCCAGGAGCATAGAGAAGAGGACGATGTGCCACAGGACAATGTTCGGGGGCTGGATGCAGAGATCCCATGAGGATTGGTTAAAAAGATAATTATATCTAAGAAGAAAATAGAAAGTAAAAAGGGTTAGTCACATGTCTGTCCTCTGGAAGCAAATATGTGAGAAGTACCAATAATGCCCCTCCCACCCGAAAAAAAATATTTAAACAAAATGACGTCATATTGTGTCAATTTACAAAATTGTATGATAGCAGATTTAATGTTAGAAAGAAATTATACTGATTGTAGGAATGAGATTCTGTTGTCATGTCTGGCCTCACAGAAGTATTTCAAGGACTGATCTACCCCAAATAATAACATATATATTGATGTGTGAAGATGAAGCCCCATCACAATTGCAAAGACAAATGATGGCGCCCCCCTTGCCTGATGAATTCTCAATCATTTAGAACTGTATCTCCAAACTGCAGCCATTTCCTTGCCTTTATCTGGCCCTTGGAGCACTTTTCCTCTCACTGACACCAACAGTGAGGTATAATTCCAGCTACTAACATCAACATCGGCACTATTCCTCTAACTGATACCAACAATGAGGCACTAGTCCTCTCACTGACACCAATGATGGGGCACTATTCCTCCCACTGACACCAATGATGGGGCACTATTCCTCCCACTGATACCAATGATGGGGCACTATTCCTCTCACTGACACCAATGATGGGGCACTATTCATCCCACTGATACCAATGATGGGGCACTATTCCTCTCACTGACACCAATGATGGGGTACCATTCCTCTCACTGATACCAATGATGGGGCACTATTCCCTCCACTGACACCAATGATGGGGCACTATTCCTCCCACTGATACCAATGATGGGGCACTATTCCTCTCACTGACACCAATGATGGGGCACTATTCCTCCCACTGATACCAATGATGGGGCACTATTCCTCCCACTGATACCAATGATGGGGCACTATTCCTCCCACTGACACCAATGATGGGACACTATTCCTCCCACTGATACCAATGATGAGGCACTATTCCTCCCACTGACACCAACGATGAGGCACTATTCCTCTCACTGACACCAACGATGAGGCACTATTCCTCTCACTGACACCAACGATGAGGCACTATTCCTCTCACTGACACCAACGATGAGGCACTATTCCTCTCACTGACACCAACGATGAGGCACTATTCCTCTCACTGACACCAACGATGAGGCACTATTCCTCTCACTGACACAAACGATGAGGCACTATTCCTCTCACTGACACCAATGATGGGGCACTATTCCTCCCACTGATACCAATGATGGGGCACTATTCCTCCCACTGATACCAACGATGGGGCACTATTCCTCTAACTGACACCAACGATGAGGCACTATTCCTCTCACTGACACCAACGATGAGGCACTATTCCTCTCACTGACACCAACGATGAGGCACTATTCCTCTCACTGACACCAATGATGGGGCACTATTCCTCCCACTGATACCAATGATGGAGCACTATTCCTCCCACTGATACCAATGAATGGCACTATTCCTCCCACTGATACCAATGATGGGGCACTATTCCTCCCACTGACACCAATGATGGGACACTATTCCTCTCACTGACACCAATGATGGGACACTATTCCTCTCACTGACACCAATGATGGGACACTATTCCTCCCACTGATACCAATGATGGGGCACTATTCCTCCCGCTGATACCAATGATGGGGCACTATTCCTCCCACTGATACCAATGATGGGGCACTATTCCTCCCACTGACACCAATGATGGGGCACTATTCCTCCCACTGACACCAACGATGAGGCACTATTCCTCTCACTGACACCAATGATGGGGCACTATTCCTCCCACTGATACCAATGATGGGGCACTATTCCTCCCACTGACACCAATGATGGGGCACTATTCCTCCCACTGACACCAATGATGGGGCACTATTCCTCCCACTGATACCAATGTTGGGGCACTATTCCTCCCACTGATACCAATGATGGGGCACTATTCCTCCCACTGATACCAATGATGGGGCACTATTCCTCTCACTGATACCAATGATGGGGCACTATTCCTCCCACTGATACCAATGATGGGGCACTATTCCTCCCACTGATACCAATGATGGGGCACTATTCCTCCCACTGACACCAATGATGGGGCACTATTCCTCCCACTGATACCAATGATGGGACACTATTCCTCCCACTGATACCAATGATGGGACACTATTCCTCCCGCTGATACCAATGATGGGGCACTATTCCTCCCACTGATACCAATGATGGGACACTATTCCTCTCAATGACACCAATGATGGGGCACTATTCCTCCCACTGACACCAATGATGGGACACTATTCCTCTCACTGACACCAATGATGGGGCACTATTCCTCCCACTGATACCAATGATGGGGCACTATTCCTCCCACTGATACCAACGATGGGGCACTATTCCTCTAACTGACACCAACGATGAGGCACTATTCCTCTCACTGACACCAACGATGAGGCACTATAGCTCTCACTGACACCAACGATGAGGCACTATTCCTCTCACTGACACCAACGATGAGGCACTATTCCTCTCACTGACACAAACGATGAGGCACTATTCCTCTCACTGACACCAATGATGGGGCACTATTCCTCCCACTGATACCAACGATGAGGCACTATTCCTCTCACTGACACCAACGATGAGGCACTACTCCTCTCACTGACACCAATGATGGGGCACTATTCCTCCCACTGATACCAATGATGGGGCACTATTCCTCCCACTGATACCAATGATGGGGCACTATTCCTCCCACTGATACCAATGATGGGGCACTATTCCTCCCACTGACACCAATGATGGGACACTATTCCTCTCACTGACACCAATGATGGGACACTATTCCTCCCACTGATACCAATGATGGGGCACTATTCCTCCCACTGATACCAATGATGGGGCACTATTCCTCCCACTGATACCAATGATGGGGCACTATTCCTCCCACTGACACCAATGATGGGGCACTATTCCTCCCACTGACACCAACGATGAGGCACTATTCCTCTCACTGACACCAATGATGGGGCACTATTCCTCCCACTGATACCAATGATGGGGCACTATTCCTCCCACTGACACCAATGATGGGGCACTATTCCTCCCACTGACACCAATGATGGGGCACTATTCCTCCCACTGATACCAATGATGGGGCACTATTCCTCTCACTGATACCAATGATGGGGCACTATTCCTCCCACTGATACCAATGATGGGGCACTATTCCTCCCACTGATACCAATGATGGGACACTATTCCTCCCACTGATACCAATGATGGGACACTATTCCTCTCAATGACACCAATGATGGGGCACTATTCCTCCCACTGACACCAATGATGGGACACTATTCCTCTCAATGACACCAATGATGGGGCACTATTCCTTCCACTGACACCAACAGTACTCCAGAACCCTGCACTCTGTACATAATGCACTCCAGAACACTGCACTCTGTTCCTAGAACTCCCCTGAACCCTACACTCTGTATGTAACACACTCCAGAACCCTACACCCTGTATATAGTGCACTCCAGAACCCTGTACATAACACACTCCAGAGCCCTGCACTCTGTACATAACACACTCCAGAATCCTGCACTCTGTTCCTAGAGCTTTCCTGAACCCTACACTCTGTATGTAACACACTCCAGAACCCTGCACCCTGTATATAATGCACTCCAGAACCCTGAGCATAACACACTCCAGAACCCTGCACTCTGTACATAATGCACTCCAGAGCCCTGCACTCTGTACATAACGCACTCCAGAACCCTGCACTCTGGACATAACACACTCCAGAACCCTGCACTCTGGACATATTGCACTCCAGAACCCTGCACTCTGTTCCTAGAACTCCCCTAAACCCTACACTCTGTATGTAAGACACTCCAGAACCCTGCACCCTGTACATAATGCACTCCAGAACCCCAGCACTCTGTGCATAACACACTCCAGAACCCTGCACTCTGGACATATTGCACTCCAGAACCCTGCACTCTGTTCCTAGAGCTCCCCTGAACCCTACACTCTGTATGTAACCCACTCCAGAACCCTGCACCCTGTACATAACACACTCCAGAACCCTGCACTCTATACATAATGCTCTCCTGAGTACTGTCGGTGTTATATGGTGTAATATGTTATTTTAAACAAATTATTGGGGGGGGGGGGGGTTTGACATCATGTTTTACTGCACCAGCTGGAACCAACCATAGTGACGCCATTGCTGCGGGAGGCATCCCCCCACTGACTGCGTTGATAGGGGAATTGAGTGATTTTCTTTCCTTCCATCAGTGGTGGAAGGAAAGAAAATAAGACCTTCTATGGCAGCCTTTCTCAACCTTTTCAACACAGAGGAACCCTTTAAATTACTTTTTGGTCTCAGGGAACCCCGGCTAAAAATGATTGTATCTACAGCTCATGATACATACGTGTGATAGTCAGAGAGAAGAATGTTCCTTACACGTGTGGTCATTGGGAAGAATGACCTCCTCAGAGATAGCTAAAAATATCAATGGCGTCAGCGGGAACCTATCTGAGAGGCACATATTGCTCATTACTCAAGGAACCCCTAGCAACCTCTGGAGGAACCCTAGTTGAGAAACGCTGATCTATGGGCTACATACTGTAGGTCTTTAGAAGCTCCTTTAGAAGAGTCCATATCTATGGTCCCCTGCAGTGCTCGCAGGTTCCTCTCGATGACCTCCACTTATTACAGGATAAAGCAGCGAGGTGGAGGTTGTCAGAAGAAACCTGTGAGAGCTGTGGAGGACGCAAGAGATCGATAAAATGTTAGTTTCCCAGCAGACCTCAGAGGACCATTTCTTAGGACCAGAGAGGAATGAGGACTATGGGCAGCAGGATAGGTAACTACTTAGTCTCTTCTTTGCTTGAACAGTTTAACGATATGACAGGGTCTCTTTCACAATTATCAGAGCTGTGTCCTTACTCCATCTCCTTAAAGTGGTAACCCCAATCTGACGCTTTGCCGGTCTGATTGTTGAAGTTACACAATGGTCCATCGTTCAGAGCTGTCCCAGAGACCGCCAGGCAGTAGAAGCTCCCCAGACCTCCAAAGATTGAAGATATCATCGATCGCAACATCTGAAACGGGACAGGAGTATCGGTACATCAGTACAAAGTGTAGTGTACATGTCAACGTTTTGTTTCCGGTACAAAAACTAATTATAAATATAAATAAAAATAATAAATGATTATTAAATAATACAGTGAATTAAATAATAGATGAATAAAGATTAATGGGCAACTACTATACATTTTAACAACACATTTTGGGTTAGTATTTGAAAGTTTACTTGAAAGTAATTGTTTCTGTTCCTTTTCACATGTTTGCCACAATTGTTCCCCATTTTCATGGCGGTGATATTTCCAGATCACTAGCTTTCAGTATGGTATTTTTTTTTACCGGCGAGTATGAGTACCAATATCAGGTAGTATCAGCGAGTACTGAGAACCAATACCTTTGCGGTGCGATTGGAGCCCATACAAAATTAACCCCTTGACGCCGAGCACACGCAAATATGCGGCCTCTCAGCGTCTGGGCCTTGACGCCAAGCGGCCGCGTATTTGCGTGCAATTAAAAAGTGTATTATTTATTTATTTCAGGTACTTATATAGCACCGTCAAATTTACACAGCGCTTTGCATTCACATCAGTCCCTAACCCTCAGGGGGCGTACAATCTAAGGTCCCTAACCCTCAGGGGGCGTACAATCTAAGGTCCCTAACCCTCAAGGGGCGTACAATCTAAGGTCCCTAACCCTCAAGGGGCGTACAATCTAAGGTCCCTAACCCTCAAGGGGCGTACAATCTAAGGTCCCTAACCCTCAAGGGGCGTACAATCTAAGGTCCCTAACCCTCAAGGGGCGTACAATCTAAGGTCCCTAACTCACATTCATACATACACATACTAGGGACAATTTAGACAGGAGCCAAATCACCTACCAACATGTCTTTGGAGTATGGGAGGAATCCGGAGTACCCGGAGGAAACCCACAAAGTCACAGGGGGAACATGCAAACTCCAGGCAGGTGGTGCTGTGGTTGGGATTCGAACCAACAACCCTAGTACTGCCAGGCGGAAGTGCGAACCATTTAGCCACTGTGCTGCCCGTATGTGCTGAGAGCGCGCACCCTGCCCGCTCCCAGCACATATACCCGCTACTCCCGGAAAGGTCTCGATCTCCCATCGCATCAAAAATACATAAAAAATGCATAAAAAAAAACACACTACATGCTTTTCTGCAGCATTCCCATTGAAGTGAATAAAACCAAAAACGCAACATTTTTGCGTTTACAAAACTCCCTGCTTGCCCCAGCACATATGTTGGTGTCTCCCAGAAAGGTCCAATCTCCCCTTTTGATCGGGACCTTTTCCGATCATGTGACCACCGTGATGGCGGTCACATGACCCCAAAACCCCGCCCCGCCTACTGGCTTTTGAAACTCTTAAAGGGACAGGAGCAGGAGCGGACTGACAACTCATGGGGCCCCCGGGCAATAGGGTATCATGGGGCCCCAGTGTCCTTCCCAAACTCAAAAAAGCCTATGAAAAAGGTACCAGGGGCATCTCATGGGGCCCCCTACTGACCCCGGGCCCTCGGGCAGTGCCCGAGTTTCCAAATGGTCAGTCTGCCCCTGGACAGGAGGCTCCGGTGCCAACAGGTTAATGGGCTCATATCGCACTGCAAAGAATCAAATGCGATTTGAACAGGAATGCGGTGCAATGCCTGTCTGAATCACATGCGGTTTCCTGACGGGTGTGGTGCCATTTGCAGAGCCATTTATTTTGTATGGCTTAAATCGCACTGCACCCACAGGGAAAACGCATGTGACTCGGATTCAGGTATTGGAGCACTTGCACGTGTACTCATGCAAAGGCTTAGTAACGGCACCAATACCGGCATCGGGATCAGTGCAACCCTAGTTTTCATCATCAATCCTGGGCTGCCAGGCTGGTGGCTTTTAGTGCCAATCTATACATACTGGTCAGGTCTGTAGAGGCTGATTAAAGTACAACTAAAGGCAAAACTTTTTTTTTTAGTTTCGGATGGAGTGGAGTGGGATAAGAACCCCTGTCAGTTGTTTGTGCTGTCTGTGTCCCCATTAGGGAGATTCACTCTCTCTATTTGTCCTGTTTACCATTATTATTGAAAGTAAAAGTAAATCCCAAATCCTGCCAACACCGCCAACCCAAAAAAAGAAAAAAAAAAAAACACTCTGCTCTCCACGCTCTATTCTGTTTGAAATTCGAATATCAGAAGACAGATAGATTCTTTCTATTTTATTCAATTCTTTCCTTTATTTTCTAGTCTATTCTTTAATTTTATTATGTTTTTATTCTGTTCTTTTCTATTCTATTAAATTCTGTTTTATTTTATTCTGTTTTGTACTATTCTTTATTTTCTCTTCTATTCTTTTATTTTTGAGTCTATTTTATTGCCATTCTATTGTATTCGGTTCCATAAAGCATTGGCCGACCTAATCGAAGACTATCCCCTCTTCAGTCTATCAGGAATGCTGCTGCCAGACTCATCCACCTTACTAACCATTCCATATCTGCCATCCCTCTCTGCCAATCCCTCCACTGGCTTCCAATCAGTGCCCTCCAACCCTCTCTGGCAATCCCTCTACTGGCCTCCAATCAATCTCCTTCACCCCTCTCTACCAATCCCTCCACTGGTCTCCATTCAGTGTCCTCCATCCCTCTCTGCTAATCCCTCCACTGGCCTCCATCCCTCTCTGCCAATCCCTCCACTGGCTTCCCATTGACCAACGGATAAAATTCAAAACATTAACAATAACATATAAAGCCAATTATAACTCCGCCCCAAATTACATCACCAATCTTGTCTCCAAATATCACCCAAACCGTCCTCTCCCGCTCCTCGCACGACCTCCTGCTTTCTAGCTCCCTTGTCTCCTCCTCCAATGCTTGTCTCCAGGACTTCTCCAGAGCTTCCCCCATCCTCTGGAACTCTCTACCCCAGTGTATCAGACTATCACCTACTCTGCTCACTTTTAGGCGATCTCTGAAAACCTCTCTCTTCAGGGAAGCCTATCCTGCCCTCAGCTAATAATGGAATCTTATACTCTTCCTACCAGTCCATCCCCCGCAGTTATTACCTTTTGTGCCACCAGCCCCTCCCTCCTAGATTGTAAGCTCCCAGGATCAGGGCCCTTCTATCCCTCTTGTATTGAACTGTATTGTTGCTGTATTGTCTCCTGTTATATTGTAAAGTGCTGAGCAAAAACTGTTGGCGCCATATAAATCCTGTATAATAATAATAATATATAAATCCTGTATAATAATAATAATATATAAATCCTGTATAATAATAATATATAAAATCCTGTATAATAATAATAATATAATAATAATAATAATAATAATAATAAAAAAGAATCTAAGTAGAAATCATTATCTCATTTCCCTTTTATAAATTACTGTATTTATTGCAATATGTTACTGTTTCAAATTCATTTTTCAATTTGATTTAATTTTCAAATTTATTTTTCTATTTCAGATAATTTGTTTTATTATAATTTATTTCAGATTCGTTGAAATTCATTACTGTTGTGATTCAGAAATTCGGATACATCTGAACCTCTGAATAACTAAAATTTCATCCGAATTTCGATTCATAACTACACTAATTGCACGTGTCTACTAACGGACAGGGTCCTCTGATTCCTCCTGTATTGAATGGTATTGTAACTGTACTGTGCTGGAACTTCTAGTCCTCTTTGTCCCTGACACAGGCAGACCTCAGCAGCCCCTCACCCCCCTGGCTTGCAGCCTGGCCTCCTGCTGAAGGAATACACAAACAGGCCATCTCCTCCCTTCCCCCTCATGCATGAATTCCTGGGCAGGTCTGGAGACCTGAGAGACAGGGCCCGTTGCCATGGTAACCCGATAGGAAGTATCCGGTTACCAGCTCTATTCTTAAGGGTGAGCAGGAAAACCCCCATTGTGTTCTTCTGGCTGCGTGTGTGAGGGAAGGCTGGCTGAGGGCCAGCTCCTCTCATCCCCCGTCCTCCTCCTCATCTCCTGGACTGTCTGTGCTGCCTCGAATCCCTGCACTGTGGAGGGATCTTCTGCTGTCCCCGTGAACCTGCCTGGATCTATCACCTACCTGGACTTAACCCCTCGTTCTCCGTGAACCTACCTGGACTTAACCCATCCCTGCCTGGAGCCTCCTGTGTGGACTAACCCTGTGGATTACAATACCCCTGTTGTTCCATATTGCCTTCCAGAGAACTGTACTGTGTTGCTGTGTCTGGTGTGGATCTGTGGACTAAAGGAACTGTTGTCTGTGCCCCAAAAACCTCCCCAATAAAAGCACGTTGGGTTCCGTGCAATCTGTCTCTGTGTGCTCTCTGGTTCTCTTGACAACTGGTTGGCAGCAGCGGGACGAGAGCACTCGAGATGGCAGATGAGAGTCTGCATACAATGGAAGCGGTGGCCCCGGAATATCAACACTGGACGGTAACCAGCTTACAAGAAAAGGCCAGAACTTTGGGCCTCAACTACAAGGGACTTACCAAAGATCAGCTGGTCCGGATGCTGGAGGAAACCAGCCAACAGCAACGGGAAGATGCGGGCACAGACAGGAGCCAAGCGGTCCTGAGAGGAGATGGACCAGAGCTTCAAAGCACAAGTGGCAAGAGCCCTTGGGTCATCTGGTACGAGGAAGAGATGGCCATTCTGGGGGGGGATGCCACCCTAGATAGAAAGCTGGCGGCCATGGAAAAGGCTCAAAAGAGACAAACAGAGTGGGAAGCTGCAAAGTACCAAGCAGCTGCTCTGTGGCTGTCCCTGTGGCACGGGAGGCCCAGAGAATATCCAGGAAGGACTTTAAGCCCTACCAAGAGCACACCGGAGATGTGGATGGGTTCTTCCAGGACTTTGAATACCAGTGCGAACTACTGGAGGTCCCACCCACAGACTGGACTCGACATGTGGTAGGGCTGCTTGACGGAGGGGCTGCTGAAGCCTACCGAATGATGGACCCCCTCAAGAGACGGAACTATGAGGAGATAAAAAGGGCCGTACTGGACTACTACGCGGTCTCATCGGAGTCAT